CTGACATTTATGATCCATTCCTGATTATTTCATATGTGGAATATTGTAGAGTCTTACCGGTGGGAGTGGGTGAGGCCCATCCCAATGCCTGAGACACAGGAGGAAAAAGCATGCCAGCATTCCCAAACATCTCAGCAGTATTTCCAGAGTCTCATGTTAGAATGAGCCAGTCTCTATTGCTTTAACAGTCCAGGGCACTTTCCCCAGGAGACCAAGCGAATTAACAGGACTATAAGCTTGAAAAAAGACCTAACTCACATCTGAATCCATTGGATTCTGTTTCATGTCTGTCATAAAAGATAATATGAGGAAGCACTATGGACATCCATGTGCAGAAAGAGCATAGATGCAGCTGCATCTGCCATATACCTCCTTAAAACCTATCTGTTATTGTGATTTTATTATCTTTTAGTTGAAGTGCAAAGAAATTAATTATTTGCCCTGCTATGTCCTTGGGAATTCTAGGAAGCAAGCACTTTCTCCTCAGTTTTCCATCCATGACCCAGACAGAACAATGCATGGTATGGTGTTGCCAAGTGGCTGTCAGAGCAGCTTGACTACACCAATAAAACAACCGATTAGTATCTGTTGCAGATTTTGTTTCCCTGGAAGCTTGAATTTATTGATGTTTTATATTAAAATTCTTAGGCTAACTTAGAACTTCTCAGAGATTATAAAGAATCAATTATTCTGATACTATAGGCTGGTTGAATTTACACAGCAGTGTTTTCTTTCCTAGTCCTGATTCTTCCCAACATGCAGTCTCAGTTAATTCTTACAATAAAAGGAGAACTTCAGCCAACAAATGCATTTGATTAATGAGTAGGAAGGTGTTCTAAGGACAAGGTTTTCATGTATGCAGAGGGTTGATGGTAGACTGTGCTGCTTTTGGAGCAGCAGAGAGGAAATAATTTGCAATTATCAATTAAGCATAAAACAGTAGCAAGACCAGAGGGTTTTCACATGGCCCATCTCAGAGATGCTTGCTTACTTCTTCACTAGTTTCTTGTCTTGGGTTGTAGGTCTCTCAGGGCAGGACACAACTCTTGCCAGAGAGTTCTCAGTGCACAGTTGAGAGCTTGATTTAAATGCTGTAATGTCAGTGATAAAGACTACCTTATTCTTAAAATCAATAGTTAATGGCTCTAAGTATTACCCCAATCCTCTGTGAACCAAGCATTTGTTGAATTGGTTCGTTCCCATTTAGGAAGCTTTCAAACAATCAGCTTGAATCACAGTACTAATTTAAGACGTGGTGTAAACATCAAATTCGGTGAACCATGATTATACACTGGCATTATAAAAATGAGCTATCTGTATCTGTTTTGCATGTGCATTACTGGAAAAGCTCTGTATATATGTGCATTTTATTGCAAGCAGCTATAGCAAGGACGGCTGCCTCATTGTCTCACATTTATCATTCCACAAACATGAAAACACAACTTCTTCTCTGAAGAAGAGAGAACTGTCCTGCAGTTTTCACTAAGCTCTCAATGACTTTAAAAAACAGGGCCTTGACAGTTCATAGTTTGAAACAGAAATCAGCATTTGGAACTTTATACAAACTTTGTATAAAGAAATACCTGAAGTGGATTGCTGTGGAACAACGGATTTAAGAAAAATATTTAGTGTAGACCCGTAGATGAAAATACAATTTGTCAGCTAATGTCTATTATCGCTGATAGAAAAGAAAACACAAAAATTGGCTCCTGATAGTTATTTCAGACACAAGGAAGCACTCAAGATACTCCATATTTTTATTGTCAGCAAAATAGATCTCATTTAACTACAAGCAAGTGGATCAAAACATTCATTCTTATCACATTATCATAAACTTCAGTAACGTAGAAGACAGGTTGAGGTTAGCACTTTCAGGGAGGGAAGGAATGTCTGCTTTGAAATCATTGCAATGTTGTTAGGAGGGAGAGGAAAGACACCTTGCAATAGCAAGGAGCAGCAATACTGTTTCAGAATTTTAGGACATAATTACATCAAAAAGCACAAGACTTGAAGCAAATCTTGAAGCAGCACATTCATGCATAACACTACAGTGAAAGTGCTTTGCCTCTGTGTGACTGCAGTCACTGCTATTGCTGAGTCAGAGCCAGACTGCATTGAAACAGCTCAAAGGTTATTCCTGTGCCTCCTATTACTTCATCACCTGAGATTCACACAGGTGCACTTCATGTGTATATGTCCAGATGAAAGAGAGTAAGCCACATTCATGTATCAAATTTAGTATTTCCAACAACTGGTGTGCCCATTACATCTGCTGAATTTCCACGCCTCTAGTTTTCTTCTGGAGCCGTTTATCCTACAGATAAATAAAATTATTCTAAAAATAGTCTGCATCACTGATCATCAACTAAAAACCAGGGAATCAATTTACTATTGGTAAAATATTCTGCCTCCTTTTTCACAAAGTCATTTTCCAGGGTTTTCTCTTTTTTAAATATGCAAGTAATTTTAGGAAACTGGAAGTCAAATTCCAATAGGAGCCAGTAAGAAATTTTTTTACAATGAAGGTGGTGAAATACTGGAACAGGTTTTCCAGAGCTGTGATGGATGCACCATCTCTGGAAATATTCAAGGCCTGGTTGGATAGGGCTGTGAGCAAACTGATCCAGCTGAAGATGTGCATGCTCAGTTTCTGGGCTACATGACCTTTAAAGGTCCCTTCTTTCTATGATTCTATGATTCTCTATCCTATTTACATTAGGCAACCCCTAAGTCAGAAAATCAAACACTCAGTTCTGATGCTGTTGTTTGCAGGGGTATTGTGCAGGAAATTTGAAAGCTAAGTATCACAGGATGCAATTCTATGAAAGAAGGCACTTGGAGAGCAGATACCAAAATCAAAAAAGGTCTTGCACTGGTTACTGAGTTATGTTCTGCCTCCTGCCATGTCAAAGTGTTGTTTTAATTTCTAAGATCAAATTTCTCAATGTTTTTAGCAATGAAGAAGAATGCAAAATCAGAACCAGGGCTTACACAGCTTGTACTTCAAACTACCATTATTATTATTATTAATACTATCATTAATATTATTATTTTGTCATAAAGGGGAATTCTTTTGTAGAAATGACAGTATGTGGTTCCATCACAATTGTATTTCAGTGGTTTTCAAACTAGTAAAAATTCTACTATATTTGGGGCCAGGGATAGGATCTGGAAATCATTAGTTCTTCCCTTCTTGCTACTGCCTACTCACTATGAAATAAAATTAATCTACAATCAGAGCAACAATTCACAGTTCTGGTTAATGTACCACACTGCTCCCATTTCCACAGATCACCAGTGTAAAGGCCAAGGGTTTTGGGAAGGAATGACAGCACTTCAGTGACTGAAATCAGACAACACCTTCAATTCAATATTAGTCAACTCAAAAGCATACAGTTGAATTCCAGAGTGACAGCCTTCTCTCTGTCTTACACTGGAACACACACACACACAAAAAAAAAGCATTCAAGTAAGGGAAAGTGGACATTTAAATAAATACACACAATTGCAAAGATCATGATACTCATTACAGCACCTGCAAGTGAGAAGGTGTGGGAGAGGTTTCCAGTGATATTTCAATACAATCAGAAATCCACTGGATTCAGCTTTTTCATTGTCTGCTTTGATCATCACAGAGTGATTTAGCTCAAAGTCTAGTGCTAGATAATAGTCTTTAATTTCTTAAAGAGCAAAGTCGCTTTTATTATTACTGTTGGAAGGAAATGTTAAGACCGTGGATTGCTTTCTGCTTAACTTCTACTACTGGAATGAAACTCCACACGCGTGAGAATACAAAAAAAAAACCTGAAATGACTGTCCATTTCTCTGAACATTTCTTCATTTTTATTAAAGTGGTCTGAGGCAGATGATAAACTGACAGACTGGCATAGTGTCATGCCTGGAAGGGAACTGTGTGGATGCCTTAGCTGTTCATTGGATAGTTTTAGACTTTGAGAGAGAGACAGAGAGAGAGAGAGAGCACCAGCTTCTGAACTGTCTCTGCAATAGCTCTTATTCATCTATTCAGTCTTTCCATGCTAAATAGGAGCTCACTACTCTACCTTGCTGGCTCAGTTATAAGTCAGGGAACTATGGCTCAGAAACCTATTCTTCCACAAAAAGCAGAAGACCAGCTTTAGCTTACTTGGGAGATAAATATCTCTGCTGAAATTTCACACTGCTGGAAGTCACCTAACCAGGTCATACACTCTCTCAACTGGAAAAGAAGTTCCCACTTTAGAATCCTCCCAGGAACAGCAATCACTTCTTTTCAAAAGCTTAAAGTGCATTCATGTGACAAAAAAAAAAATAAAACAAACAAACAGAAACATCCATCACCAATAAAAAATCCAAACAAGCAAACCAAACCAAAACCAAAACAGTCCTGCTAAAGCCAGAAATGTTGAAACTGCAGTTAATGGAGACTGCCTTTCTTCAGAAGGCGAAATATGTCAGGCCCTGAATGCCAGCTGGGTAGTTACAGTCCTTTTCAATCATCACAGTGTCAACAACTACCTTCATTCCTGAGATCAGTTACAGGGTTTGTGGGGTCTGGGAAGTTTGGGGTTTTTTTCCTGTTCTGTATCAAATCATAAATCAGAACTTCAGTCATTCTTTGCTATGAGAGCCTTGCAATTTCGTGAAACTGGTGGGGGGAAGGTTATACTCTATGTAACAGTCTGGAAGAGGGCTGACTGATCACTTCATTGTAAATGGATGAAATCCCTTTGCAGGCTTCTTTTGATCATTTGCATTACACAGCTCATCAAGCCCACCAGCTCGGTGCAAATATCAGTGCAATTGCAGAGACGCTTATAAGTAGGAGAGAAAAAATTGCATTTTTTATCGTAGCACACATGCCATGAACTGCTCACAAAATCTTCGCCAGCAGAGTTCTCCAAGGCTGACGAATGTGTGCGGCATGATGGGGAGTGTTCGCGCAGATGTCATGACACTCAGACAACTGTCATGGCAAAAGAACCACTTCATACACTGTGGAGTGAAAATAGAGGCTTCTTAGACATCATACACCTCCTCATCCACGGCAGGACCGACCTCTCCACAAAGCTGGCGGAAGGTGTTGCGCCTCAGGATCTCCCAGCCACGGTGAGAACTAGTTCTGGATGTGCTCCGTGACAGTGACAGAGCAGACAGTTCCTTCTTGCACAGGGTGTCCCCGCTGGTTTCCAGCTTTTCTGAGCCTTTGTCATAGTTATCCCTATCCTGAGCCTTAAATGCCTCCGTGTACCGCATCATCTTGTGTTTGTTGGGATCAATCCTGTCTTCAATTCTGGAAGAGGATTAGAAGATATAAACTGAATTAAGTAGAAAAGTGCCAGCTTATCAACAAAACCCCTCCAAAAAACAGGACTACTGACAGAGACATTCCAGAAAAATCTGCACAGGAAACACAGGATGCCAGGAGTTGCTAGCACAATTATCTCCTAGACCTTCATCCCCACCACTGACTTCAGAACCTTTGTCTGCCTGTGGTTTCTTGTTCTTTAACTCATTTCCCAGTCATGATTTGCCCTTTCCATTTTGCCAGCTGTAAGCAATTGGCAGACTTTGTATATATGCATATATTCATTTATTTTCTCTGTTCTTGACTTTCCTCCTCTGATACTCCATGGCTGCCAGCCTCAGGATGTCATCTCTTGCTGAACCTTTATTTAATAGCTCCACTTCCACCGATTACATTACTTATAGACTGTCTTTTGAATTACTGTCCCACATATATATAATGAACACCCATGTGATTTGACAGAACTAAATCACAGAAACACTCTTTTCTCACAGCATCCAATAAATAATTGGCATTCCCAATTACTCACAGTGAATTTCTGGGACACTGCTCTTGCAATACATTGTTACATCCCATGCCTTGGGCTGAAAGTGTTGCATATTGGCACCACTTTAGGTTGGCTTATTCTGCCCAATAAATCTGAAAAGCCACAAGGCTGTTTGCCTGCAGAAAGTCCTGTGCAGAGCCAGCAGTTGGACTTTGATGATCCTTGTGGGTCCCTTCCAACTCAGGATATTCTACAAGTCTATGATTCTATGATTCATACAGCCACCACTCCCCCTTCTGGCTTTATCGGCAAAAGATGGCACAGCTAGAAAAGGCAAATGCCCAAAAGTTAATTCACTTCTCACCTGGCATAAATATTGATTAAAATGAGAAATAATGAGGAATTTAGTGCTACCCAGACTACAGACAGTTTTTCAGTTCAGTGCCTAAACTGAAATCCTGGACCTGTGCCTTTGTCATTGCAAAAGATAACATATTTTCTAGGTTCAGTTCTGAAAGAAATTTTGACTTCTATTATTCCTGTTCTGATTTTGAGTCATTCAGAGGGCAGCTCATTGTTGTTGAATGCCTTATAGATTGATTCTGCCTCTGACATTTCATGTGTTCAAGGGACAGGGACAGCCGACCAAGCACAGCAGTAAAGTTCAGTGAACCTGATTTTAAGAAGTTTGAAAGAAAAATTCAGGTCTTATAACCCATGCAGTTTCTGGGGTCTGTCCAATGTGACTGTCGGATGAGAAAGCATCAGATGTTTTCACAAGGAAACGCACTGCAGAGCTTTCTGAGGGGGACAGCGCTTGTCTATCAGTCACAGACAGAAAACAGACTGGGGTCTGTATTCTGCAACAACAGCACTTCAAACACTCCCAGGACCACTGGAGAGGCTCTTTATAAACACCCACACATTGGGTTCTTCTTGTTGGGCCCTTACAGGCGCACACTCCAAGAGAACTCACCTGAGATACCATCGGTCCCCCAGCCCAAACTCCCGCCCACAGATTCCCGAGCGAGGCCAGAGGCACCGTGGCAGTTTCCGCTCCAACATGACAGTAGTGGCAACAACCTGTGGAATGAGAAAAAAGGAAAAACTCAGATGAATTAGAAAAAAAATCAGACTCTCTTTCAAAAATATTAGTTTCATGAGCATGGATCCATACTATACTTCATTACAGCTCCTTAAGGAAAAAAAAAAATAAATATATATATATATAGTCTATACTCTATTTCAAATAAGGCAGTCACTAATTTAGGTCTGTGACATGTTTTGAAGAAGTAATGGTGGTCTTACAACACTGTCACATTTCTTTCTTTTTATTCCTCATGGAAATGATTAGGGTAATGAAATGCAATCTAGAGAAGAGGACAGTATCTATACCCACTTTAACTGTCATCAGAACTTGCCACTGTGCCACATGACTACATTTAACCCTTTGTCTGACTGTTTTCGCACAGAAAAACATAGGAAATTAATTTCCTGTTGATTTGCTATAAAACCGGTTGAATGTCTTTGCCTTTTGACCAAGACAGGCCAATTTCTTTTAATGGTTCAAAAGACATTTCTGTCCTTCCTGTAATCATTACCTTGTCTTCTATCCCCCTCATACAATCACTATAATTATAATTAAACTCTCAGTTACACAGCAATGTGATCTGCAAGAAAAAAGTTGCAACTTCAATTCTATTTAACAAGAGATTCCATGCGTTGGGAACGAACATCTAGGGATGTTCACACAGGATGGACAAGAAAGGCTGATGGGCTTCTAGCTGCTCTTTGAAATAAGGTAGGAATGCCCACCTTAACAAGATTACCTGGGCTCTCCAGAGCTCATCCTGCTCGTGGGCCACTCTCCAGTGGGTGTCACCCATCATGGCAATTAACAAGTTGAGCATCAGGAGGGTGGCAATGATGGCAAAAGCAAAGTACACCACACTGTACATAAAGGGCAGGTCCACATCGTAGTTTGCAGGGCCATCAATGATGGTGAGGAACAGCTCAAAAGTGGTGAACAAGGACATGGGATAGTTGTAGAACTGCCCAAGGTTTTCAGGGTTCTCTGTCTGGAAGATGATGTAAAAAGCTAGAAGAGATAAATCAGGAGGAAAAAAAAGAGAGAGTTTAACAACAGGAATCACATTCCAGAAGGAATAACAAAATCCTATAAGATATTCTGACCAAAATAATTGGTCTGGGAAGGCTCTGCACATGTTTCCATGCAAGGACAAATCCCTGGTGAGAATCACTGGTCTCCTTGATAAAATGACCCAAATTTACTTTGATTATTATTTATTTCACAAAGTAGTGATCCTTTTATCCTCTGGGATATAATAAAGCTTTGTGTGTTAATCCAATTTTCCACAGACAAATATCATAAATGCAGTATGTTCTTAAACCTTAACTTAAAAATATATGGAGTTATCTGCATTATCCTAGTTTCTATTATCCTGGAAAGAGCAAGATTTGAAAACCAAACTGATAGTTTGAGAACAGAAGTCAGTACTGGGAAAGTGACCATGCTCAGAGAAATAGAAGCTAAACATCATCACCAGTTTTTCCAGCTATTCAGGAGTCAATCAGAGATTAAATCAAAACCCACACTCTTAATTCATACCAAAGCAGTTGGCAAAGGTAACATATGATTATTTTCTGTTTGTAGACTCACCTGATGCAAACCCCAATATCACCACAGCCATGAGCCAGCAAAAGCGCATGAGATCTCCAAATATCATCTGTAGAGCAAAGACAGAGCCACCATGAGGCCCAGCTGTTCCACCAAGCCACCCTATGTAAACCTTCTTCCAGATTCTAAGACCATGAGTAGACTAAAGGAAACCTTTGCACTAAAGAAATAAAGTTCTAAAACTCTCTGTGCAAACAAGAACTTGTCTGTTTGACATTAATGCAAAATTAAGCAAATAATCCCGAGGGAGAAAAAAGTATTCTTACAGTTCTCCCTATCGGCAAAGAGGTGCCAGGATAGCCCGTATTTGTTTGTGTCTCACACCTTCTGGATCATGATGGTGAAAGGTCCGAGCATCTGGAAGCCCCGTGCAAAGTACATGACGTTGCACCATCCCAGCACCAGGGCGAAGGACATGGGCACCACCTCCCCAGTTGTGCTGGTGAGACGCATCACCATGGTCACCAGGATCATGCAAGCATAAGTGATGCTGCAAGGAAGAGGAGACAGCGAAAAAAAAGTTCAGTGAAGGAAATATTGGTCAAGCCGTTAAAATAAATAAATTCAGAGAAAAAATACTCTAAAAAAAAATTGCAAAAGTGACTCATATGGAAAAAGAGTGCAGTGGGGAAAATGATAGACAATATATTTATTAGACTAAATATGGTTCTGTACTTACACAATTATGTGGAAAGGCCCTCCTAGGATTGTTTGTCCAAAGTATTTCGCTGCTCCAACTCTAAGGATATCTGGAATCTAAGAGAGACATCCTATTAGCTTAAGGACTCAGTTCCCATAATACTACTAAATGTCATGGCAACCACCAATTTCCATGGATTCTTGGAAAGATAGATCTTTGATAGATCAATTTCTATGCTACTTTAAAATCAGAAGGGTTGAGCCAGGTGGGCCCTTCTTGGGATGAGACAGAAATTGCTGAAAAATATAAGAATGCTTGGGCAGGTTGAGAGACTTGTCACAGGGAGGTGCCTCAGTAGCAAAGACAAAAAAGACCTCCTTGGGGAATCAAAGGAGTTTGTTAAAACTCGCACTGTGTTAGTTGTAGCCTTAGCCCCAGAGTCCTGACTAAGCACAGGAAGAAGGACTTGTCCTTCTGGAACACACCATAGAATCGAAACTGCACACTCCACTCAAGCTGAGGTCACACCAGTGCAGAGCAGAGAGGGGACAATCACCTCCTTTGGCCAGATGTGTCACTGTGCCTGATGCACCCCATATAGGCAGAAAGCTGTTTACAAGACCTGTTTCATTTTCAGTTCTTCCTGTCATCATCTTTTGAGTTTTCTCACAAAAGTTCCAATCTTCTATTTCCTATTATAATAAAATCAAGTTGGGGGTGGTTGAGAAAGGCTCCTGTTACAAGTTCATGGAGTAACTGATCTCCAATCAAATACAAACTTCTCTGTTTATGCACAGAAATCACTTTACCCAGCATTCCTAAACACAGGAATATTTATGGGTGCTGGCTGAAGCAACATCTGGGAGTCAGCTGAACCACGGATGGTGCTAACAGGAACTGTGGATTACCCTGCAAGCAGTATTTGAGAGTGCAACCAATCCTACTAATTGCTTCTTCCGCACCTGGAGTCTCAGGACACTGTCACAGTCTCTGTCTCATCTAATAGACACTGCTGGCAATGACTATTGCAGTAGAACTATGTTGAAGTGCTCAGACTAAGCAAATAAGCCCTACCAAGTAGTGAGCACAAATCCATGTTTGTCTAGTAAGTAAAATCTGCCTTGGTGAAACTTGAAACTGTATAGCTGTTTCTCTTACCTCAAGGACCAAAATTACTACAGCTCCAATGACGGTGATCAGCTCCCCCACCAGCCTCAGCTCATCCTCATATGCCACATATGATTCCTGAAAAAAAAAAAAAAAAAGAGTTAATGAAAATTAAAATTAAATTTTAAATAAAGTGAAAGTAAATTTTAAAAGAGGATGGGGATGAAGACAGCCTATTGTTACTTATAATAAACATGACTAGACCTGGCAATGCCAGAGGAACCAGCCCAGCCCCAGCAACAGAGAACAGAGCACACTTCCTATTCCTCCCTGACAAAGGTCAGCTGGCCCAGAGAGGGGAGGAGGAGAGCTGCAATAGCTGGGGACTGGGGGAGGCTTGGACTTTCCAGTTAAGTAGGTTAGATGGGAGTTGCCCAATGGGGGCTCTACAGTCTCCTACAGACTCCTACAGTCACAGTACCTGAAGCATTTTCTGGACATAGATTGTGTTGTCCCTGCTGCTGGTTCTGTTGCCTGTTCGGGGTTTCAGGGGGCGGTAGACGCAGCACATGGTGAAGCAGACCATGTAGAGGATGTAGAATAAGGCCAAGAAACAGAAGTAGGGACGACCATACATGTTCCACTTCAGGCTCACCAGCTCCTTCACAGGTGTTAAGTCCAAGATCTGGCGTGCCTGAGGAAGAGAGAAAGAAGGAATTAATTGCCAAAAGTGCATTGTTTCATAAACAGCATTCACAAATTTTCTTGAGAGACTGTTAATAAGCTATGTTCATCTGCCCTATTCAGCATTACAAAACTGAATTTCCTTTGCAAAAGTGGAATGCTCCGGTGGGCATTGGATTTGCTCAGTTTGTCAATAAAGAGCTTTGGAAAAAAGAAATATATCATGCAGAGAACGACTGTTGACTACCAGTGGGAAGTACAAGAAAAGCATGTTAGACGCTAGAATAAATTTGTCCTCTATCTAGGAACATACAATTGAGGACGACAGAATATCCCTGTTAGTACAACAGAAGCTTCTGTATCAGATGTTTTAAAGTAGGAAAACTTACACATTTTTCTAAAAGATATTTTTACTTTTCTGAAGGTCTAGGGCTTATGAAAAAATACTGCCTTTTCAGTTTATGCCTTATTATCTGGGTGACACTTAATTGAATTGCTTATATCAAGCCTTCAGCTTGTACTAGAAGACTGGACAGAGCATGAGCAGGAGAGACAGGTGTACCTTGCAACTTATGAATCTGAGCCACGCACTTTATCCTAGACTTACTTTCTATTGTTTAGGGGAGCACTGCAGTAAGTGAGAAGAAAATGTGACTCAAATTGTTGTGACCGGGTTACTTTAAGGAAAAACTTCCTTACGCACTCTGGATGTTTTTCTTCTCTTGCTACAGTGCCCTGTTTCCTCTAAGTCAGCCAAAAATTGCTCAGTGCACAAAGTGCAGGGAATGTTTCCATAAATGGAGATGACTCTAAAAAAACTCTTGAATGGCCTATGAAATATCATAAAGGATCAAAACTTCATGAGAGAGAATCCACCTATGCGTGTTCTGGTTTCTGTAGAAGTCAGTATTCCAGAATTCTTTGCATAGGAGAGTAAATTTAATTTTCAAAGGGATAATACAAGTTTGAATCTTACTATAATCTTCCCACAACTGAGTTCCCTTATATTTTTTTATTTTCCAACCACTTCAGGAACAGAAAACATATCTTAGTACCTATGTGTGCATGCATTCCCCCTAATACAAGAGGAACCTGCTTCTGACTAAAGTGCTAAAGTCCAATAAGGACTAAGGGGCTAAAGTGCTTCTCTAGTCCAATATTGAACTGGGAGGGGATGATGGGATGGGGTCGCACATGGCATTCTTCTAGAGAGACAGCAAGCATTTAGGGCCAAACAAATAAAATGCAAAAAAAAATAAATTACTAGCTATGTGTCAAAAAATTGCAACTGCATATATGTAAGAGCATTCTGGAAAAGAAATAATTTTATCTCTTAATATTTGGGGATATCTTCTCTTCTGAAATGACAATTCTTGGATCTGCATGCACTATATGAATGCTTTGGGATAAGAGAGAGACCCAATATTCTGCTTTCTTTTTGGGATTATGGTTAGTCTCCTAAAGTGGACAACTTCCAAGCCTGTTATATTTTTTGACATGGACTGCTTTTTCCTGGATTTCCATATGCATCCCCACTCTCAGAAATTTGGAGGTTTTCACATAAAAGCAAATGAGAAGTCCATAGACAGAGGAGCTCCATAGCAAAGCTCTCCAGATGCTCAAACTTTTGTTAGAAAGGTTTGATGAAAATTTTGATAGGTGGAAATAATACAGGATGGGCAGAACTGTGCTAATTGAAGTGTGTTCTGATTCATTTCCTGTCCTGTTAGGATTATTTAAGGTCATTACAATTGACAGGGTTGTGTACCTTAAAAGTCCTAGGGAGATCTATCAAAGCTCGCCATTCCACTCTGCTATTTTGGTCTTATTAATCCTTTTACAAGCTTTTGAGCCTACAGCAGAGATAATTTGCCCACTTTGTTTTGAGTCATAACCTGCCATTAAATGAAGGGAATAATAACAATGAGTGGTTTTAAAATGCACGCCAGTTTAGGATTTCTGAATGTGCTCCTGTCTCACAGGGATATTGTGAGAGTTAATCAGTATCACAGTTACAGGAAGATACTTGCTAGAGCTACTCTACAGGTTCTTAGTGTATCTCTGAGCCTGGTGAGATAAAACCCTTTTCTGTAGTTTGTTCATACCTAGTTCTTTCAATAACCTTCAATTTTCATGCCCCAGAAGAATTATATATAAAGCATCAGGTGTAGCCAGACCACTAATAAGCCCCTATACTTCACATATCCTCTGCAGCTCATGGTATGAAGTCCTTGCTCTATGGATTTTATCAGTGAGCCTGAACCTTCAAACTCATTATTCCTTTCCTATAATCACCATGGTCTGCACTCAGGATGCATGCAGTGCCCACAGTACCTCTCTCTTCTTGGTGGACACTATGAGCTCAAGGAAGGACTGATCTTCAGCCCAGGAGTCAATCTCTGTGATATCATACAGCACAGTGCTCAAGGGGCCAAAGGACCAGAGATTCTGCTTCCGCTTCTGCATAAGGTATTGAAACATCTGAGGAGAAAAGAAGGGGGGCAAGGATATCAGAAACTTTCCAGTATATAGTGTATTTGCAATGAGAACAAATAAAGTTGCTCAAAACCCTTAATTATGACATATTTTCCTTGAACTCAGTAGCTATTGTGGTTCCCATATCTCTCGGGAACAATTACAGCAGGTTTAGAATGGAAGAAATTTTTCTGATTCCTATTTCATCATTAGCTCATGCTTGACATAAAGGATGAGTTATTTTTACTCTAAATTCTAATCAAATTACTAAAGTTACTTGACACAGTTATAGTTCCTGACAATAGACTTCAGATTGAATTACATGTTGATTAGAAAAAAAAATGTGTTAATACTCTTCTACAAGACATCAGAAAAGAGGTGTGACGAGGGAAATGATACTGTCCCTTGTGAATCTACAGAAGAAACATTAACCACCTTTGTCTTTTCAGTGAGTGGAAGGATGAGGGTTTACATTAAATGCTAACATTTTGTCTATGAATAAATGCCTGTGGACACCTGAAGAGGCTTCCCATCTGTCACATTTAGAGTAATGAAATCTAGACAAGCAAGACAATTTCTGTGAGCCTTTCAAAAAGTTGCTTGGGGTAAATGTGTCTGTTAACACCTGTTTAACTCAAATGCTTCAAAAATAGGGGGAAAATATCTATTCTTTAAGCACTCATTTCTTTCATTAGGATAAAGAAATCTCTTATAAAGAGGTTTTGGGATCTACATAAGACTTCTGGGAAAAAAATCTTGTTGCGTATCTTCTACCCACTAAGAACATGCATAAATTCCCTTGCTCTGACTGATGTTATTTCAAGGTCTCCATTTCTCTTTTGTACAGAGGTGCCAGTGTCACACAAACTCACCACAGTGTTGCCCTCAACTCCAGCCAGTTTGAATGGACTAAGCCCCTCATTGTTAGGAATCAGTTCAAGTGACCCTGGTCCCTCTTTGCTCCTGTCATAGGAAAGTATCAGGCTGTACATGTGGCAGGCAAACGTCTTATTAGGTTGGAGAACCAGGATGTGAAGAACAGTGTTACCTATGGAGGAAGCAGACTGGATGAAGTATCTGGAATAGCCCAGCCCTGTGGAAAGACTGAGAATGGACTGATGGCTTTTATTTTCCTCATCTCCCTCATCCCACAGCTGTTTCTAGTGAGAGAAGAATATTTGCATGCACGGATGACAGTCTGAATTAAAATGCCCAGATCCACTCTGTGGAATTCACTGAGTCCCACAGCACATACCCAGAGAATCTTGAGCTCTAATGTCAGCTCCATTTTCAATGAGCAGCTGCACAATTTCCTCATTCCCCACACAGGCAGCAAATGATAAAACATGCTCTCCTGAAATGAAAGGGATGGGGAGAAACAACATTAAGGATCCAGGAGGTAGGAGAGCTTGAAGCATGCTGAGGGGAAGCTATACATGCTATGAAGCCATAGGATATGAAAGGAAGAGTTACTGTAGGTAACTTGTAAATTTTCCTGCCCCACTTCTCATCCTAATTAGAAAAGTTAAAAAAGACTTGTCCCACACAACACTAAAAGGAAGAAATGTTCTTTTCAGTGGTTTACCTCCATAAGAAGGTTGGTAAGTAATTTGCTGCTAGGAAGACACTAAATTACAATTTTAATACAATATATATATATTTCCATACAAGCAAATATATAAATGTATTGTTTATATTCACATATCATTCACATACTCAGAGGAAGTCTTACTCTCTGCTAAAAGGTGCATGTCTGATGACACTTGAAGATAGGAGCCTCTGTTTACCCACTTTAGATGGGGATTATAGTGAGGCTCCCCCATATCCCCTCACCACTACTGGTTCCCTCCTTTAGCAGCAAGGGGAGAAGTTAAGGCTGTACCAAAATAGAAAAGGTTCTGGGAGCTGCGCCTGAAGAAGTGCCCAGTGGCCCTTGCTGTGCTGGCATTGGCTCCTCTCTTAAGCAAAGCCTTGACCAACGTGGTGTTCTGGTTGGCTGCTGCAATGTGGAGAGCTGTCTGCCCTGCAAGACACAGAAACAAAACCTTGTCTTCCAAGAAAGCAACTTCAGGCTGATCAGCAGTTTGTGTGTCAGTCACGGTAAATGGACAGCAGCTAAAGGAATTAGCTTTGAAGTTATCCCTGTTGTGTGCAAAGGGTTGTGCTAGAGATTTTACAGAGGTTCTGTTCTACTTAAATCTTTTCATTAGTTTATTAAAACTGACTTTACAAATTGCCAAAAAATCCCAACAGGGTGCACTTTCTAGATTTTCTTCCTAGGGAAAATCAAGACATGCCACACTCATCTGGGAAGCAAACAGGAAGTTGCAAGATTGACTATGCTTTCCTTCCTAAGAAATGAAGATAAGGTCAAGACAAAACTCCCAAAGACTCACTCTAAGTTTTTAGTCCAAAAGAATTTTTAAAAACACCATTATTATTATTTTAGTGGTTTTGAGATTCAGACTGGAATTTCTGTGTACTCAACCAGAAGCAGTCTTTAAAAATTTGGGTAAGAGTCTATCCTCAAGAGCAGTGGCCACATTTCTCATTTTCTCAACCAAATAACTATTTTTTCACCTTTCAGGGAAGGTCAGGCAGATATCCCTTTTTTTATAAACGAGTATGTCAGAAACCAAACTGTATATATCCTTGCAATCCCTTTCCAATCCCTTGCAATTCCCTGGTCAAGGTCTTTGCATGTTTGCACATGTGTGTACTCATGCTTAATATAATTCCTCCCTTTAGGAAAGGTCAGAAGCCATTTACATATTGGTTTTGCTGTGTAACAGTTTAGCAACATATTGAACCAGGAACGGTATAAGCCAATTTCCCAAACGTACAGATAGTACTTCCTCTCCCCGCCTGCAGGGAATCCCGTCCATCCTCATTCCCAGTGATATTACCTTCATAAAGTTCTGATGTCATCCTCTCATTGATAAGCTCAGGAGCTGCTTCCATCAGAGCCACTGCAGCCTCCAAGTTATCGTACATGGCAGCTACATGAAGGGCAGTCTCTCCCACCGCGCCTAGAAACAGCAGGACAAGCATGAGAATTGTTGAGACGTTCAACTGTATAGGACAAAAGCAGAAATAGATTCCTTGAGGTGGGGAATTACAGGAGGGCTATGTCCTCCCTTGAGTAGTGGCCTGGTACAGCCACATAACTGCACAGTCTCTGTCTTTCGCTTCAACAAAATCTGAAAACTGAGCAGAAACTTCAGGTGTCTGTAAGTGACAGCTGACTTCAGGCATGAAGTGAATGAGCACAACCAAGTCAGAAAACTCACTTTGCTGCAAAGCCGCTGACAGAGTTAAATCATCAGAGTCTGCTGATGCAAATGTTTAAGCAAACTAACAAGCTACTCATTGTAGGAAACTCTTGCCTTCCACAGAAAACCATTTTTCTCAAGTAATCCCAGTTACCTCTCTGATAGATATCGCATGTTCCGTCAGTGAGAAGTTTCCTAATGGCAGCAAGGTTGTTCTCTTTGGCAGCCTGGAGGAGTGGGGATTCCCAGATTCTGCAGTCAAGAAAAAACGTCTGATAAGGAATAAAGTCAAACACATGGTACCTATTTCCATAGCTAACATGGCCTTTGCTCAAGACAGTTTGTATCTTGAACATTTTAATTGAAAAATCAGCAATGCACATCTACCATCTGAGGTATTCCTTGAATGCACAAAAAAAACCCCAAACAACAAAAACAGAACAGGAAAAAGCAGAGCAGTGCAATTCTAAAAATACACTGAAGTTCATCATCTCTTAGCTTAGTGATACTGAACCGTATGGTGGCAGCAGAGGGGAAAGACAGGGGAAACAACCAAACTGTTTCTTGTTTTTGTATCCCACTTTTTGAGGCACAGAAATAGTGAATGATGGGTCATTGAAGCCTCCTGCAAGTAGACAGTTATCTCAGGAGCCAGAAAAAGCCACTTGTTTCTTCACACAGCACAATAAATTAAGAAAAGGTTGCTGTCTGAATTGCTCCCACAGTGGATAGAAAAGGGCAAATGAGAATTCCATCTGTGTTCTTGCAACACTTCCTATAATTAACAGACTGAGCTCTGAAATGTAGTTCTTCCATATACAAAGTTATGGAGAAAAACTCGGCACCCTTTGCTATACTAGTATTTTCTCTAGTGCTGAGAGAATCGAGGAAATTGTTGAGAACTGAAATATGTTCATGTCCTGGGAAAGAATATGTGCTCAAACAAGTTCCAGACAGAGTGGTTCACTTATAGCTGAAGCATGTCCTTGAGTCTTCCATGAGGATCTGGGTTATTTGAGCACATCTTTTGCACTTGATGAAGAATTTATAAGTACAGCCACCAAACTTCACTACAGCAAGGTCTTTGGAAGCAAACAACAGGTCAAGGGAGGTGATCCTCCCCCTCTACTCAGCTCTGGTGAGGCCATACCTAGAGCCCTGCATCCAGGTCTTAGGATCTTCAGAACAAAATACCTATGGAGCTACTGGAGAGAGTTCAGCAAAAGGCAAAAGATGATCAAGAGAATAGAACATCTCTCTGATGAGGAAAGGCTGAGAGAACTGTGACTGTTTAGCCTGGAAAAGAGAAGGCTCAGGTGGTGCTCCTATCAATTTTTATAAGTACCTAAAGAGAGTTACCTGCAGTGTTTGTTCAGCATCCAAACAAGGTTTGGCAATGTTCAGCGTGAGTTGGCCACAAAAAAGTAAAAAAAAGAACAAAATCTGCAAAACTGAGGTGAATATTTCTGCTGTCTTTGAGTATGTTCAGGTTTGTCTTTTAATTAAAATTAAAATAAATTAAAAAGTCATTTGGAGTGGGCCTTTTGATTTCTTGATTTTATACAAATAAAAAATTATAGATATCTCATATTCAGGAGATAAAGATTAAAGGGGAGGAAAGACTCTCAAACCAAAAGAAAAAAAAAATATGTCTCATGAGTTTTCAGGATGAAATAGAAAGACATTTTTCTCTCCTAACAAGGTAACTCCTGTTTTAGACCTTTGTTCAGATTAAAATTTTGTGCTTTTATCTCACCCCTGCTGTTTTCTAGTACAGATGTTTAATTTGATCTTAATTATCTAGAGTGGCCCAGGTCAGGCTGCAATGTGTGATGTGGAATAAGTCTAAGGATTACAGTAGAAAATCAGAAATTCAAGCTGATATGAACAAAGATAACACCAGCCCTTGTTTTTCTACCAGCCTCTATCTGTCCCTTTACTACAATTTAACAACTGGCAATAATTGTCTTAAGCACACCTCCCCAAAAAAGCATGTGGGACAAACACATTAATCAAACTATATACCTGCAGATACAGTAAATGCTTCCTCCTGGTGGCATTCCATGTATTCTGGCATTATTTAGTTACAAGATTTTGGGGATAAATTCTACATTAAGCAATAGGTGCTTTGCATTAAGTGGTAACACTGATGTGAGGATACATTACCTGTGAATATAGCTCTGTTATAAGCCACACTAAAATCCACATGAGAGACAAAGAGAATACAAATGGCCCATTGCAAAAAATGTTTTCTTACAACTCATGCATCTTAAGTACAGGACAGCTTAATGACAAAAAATAGGGAAGCGGGCAACATGAATTCTGTGGCTCAAAGGAATGTGTATTTCTTGCTTTAATTTATTATTTTATGAACAAGATCTTAAATAAAAAAGGAATTTATATGCCATTATCTCTGTGGATTTAATCCACTTGAAATGTTATGAGTTCTGCTCTATTTTATAGTGGAAAGACACTGGAGACACTTGAGAAAACTCGGGGGATAAAACAAAACAAAAAATATCAGAATTATACAGATAAATAGAAATCATTTGAGTAAGTGTAAATTAATGGACATGGCCTACAAGTAATAGAAGCATAACTGAACATCATTGTATCATTCCACAAAATAAGCCCTTCCTGTCACCAAAAACACCCCATTATTTAAGTCACTAGAAACTAAACTAGAAAACCACCGAAGAGCAGAGGAGAAATAAAAACATTCAGGATAAAAAGAACCATCCTCAATAAATCAGGGAGCCATTCTGAGATATTTTTATATGTCCTTCACAGTCCTAGTTAGGGAAGTATTCCTTCTATAGCTTACTCATGCGTCAGTTTCATTAGTAACTAATGACAAGATGATTTGATGAGGAGATTGCATCTAGGATCAAACAAACAGGAACTAAATAAAGAGGCACTCTAAGCAAAAGCCGTAAGATTCAGTGTTAGTGAAGTCAGCCTGCCACCTCTGCCACTATTTTGGCTAAGAAAGACTCTGTTTCTGGAAAATACATGTTTCAGAGGCAGGAAGAGGTGGGGTTTCAGTAGCATAAACAATACTACAATTAATATGTTGATGCTTTATTGGGTAGGCTTTTATCCCTCAAATGACCTCAGAGAGGAGGAAGGATTGGGCAAGAGACGACATGGGAGGACACAAACACAATACCTTTCTCTCAAAAATTACCAAAGTTCTTGTAAACAACTAATTAAATCACGATACAGCTACGAGGAAGGCACCTAAAAAATACTATGCTCAGTGTTTGGAAACTGAGGGCAAAATGGTCAAAAATTTCTTCTTATTGTAGCAACCTCCAACTGGGCTTAAAATGCCAGAGATCTCAGGCCAAAGAGCAAACCAGAAGAGGAACTCAGAAATGTCGGCAAATGTCATGGCACATTGCCTGTGATGTCTCAAAGGTTTGTGAATTACATGTTCTGAGCATATGCTTTTGCTCTCATTTAATTTTCTGTCTCATAATTGGGGAAACATTTTAACCTCATTTAAAACATACCGTTCTAATTATCAACTAATTTTTAATATATTACAGCAATGTACTGAGCACATAAATGTCAAAAACTAGGGGAAGCAAATTTGCTAATATAAAAAATTAAATGAAGTTGCCTGAATTTAGAGCCTCCAAAACATTTTCAATTATTTAACTTCTGCATATTTAACCAACTTTCTTCCTGACGGATCAAACACAGCGTGAGTTTTGCATTTTATTTCTTGGGCCCCTTTGTGTCAAAGCAGCAGCTGGCAAAATCTGTAACCTAAGTCTCTTAAAAGAGCTGCCTACAGTAAGAGCTTAGTTTCCATAAAGTACCATTATGTCACTGAACAGTGAGGCTGTATTTCAGAAAATGATTCAGCAGACATATCTAGACACTTTGAGACGATAATTCAGCACATCTAAGTTAAGCTCCTCTTCTAATCCTGTTCATCCCCTTCAACAGCTATGGAATCAAGGAATATTAAGCTCCTGATTTACCCAGCTAAGTTAAGTTTGTAACTCTAGGCAGACTGGATGTTGCCTTACAGGATCAGTTTAGGATAAGCACAGTTCCATAGCAAGCCAGTAATTCTGAGGGGCAATGAGAACCACAGGTTTCCATCTGGATGTGCTCCTGGGTTCTTCTCACTGAAATAAGGAATGTGTCAGTGTGGAGGCAGCTCGTGAGCCTAGATCATGCCTTACTATCAGCCAGGTTTCTTCACAGATGATTCAATGATGTGCTTGGGAAGCCGTGAGCTGTTTTTCCAATATAGGTGAGGGCAAAACCAGGAACACCAGAAAATCCATTGTGAAACAAAGAGGAGATAAAATTTAGGTCAGATTATGACTGAGGGAGTCATGTAAAATAGTTCTGAACAAGGTTAAAGATTTCACAAGCACTTTCTGCTGGTAATATGTGCCCTTTGAGGCTTCAAGAGCTTCTCAAGAACTTCTGGAGTGCAGCCTGCTCATTTCACTTATGGACAGATAGAGAATGCAAAGGCTAGTAAATAAGTATTAATTTCATTATAAAAAGAAGAATTTGGATTGCTATGGTTATTCTTTCAGGACATCATTCAGAAGCATCTTTTTCTATTCTTCCCTTATCAGCTTCTACAACTTCAATCATTCACTATATTCTTTGCCCTAATTTAAGTTTGTTTCCAGCTTCAAGCTTTATACCCATGGAGAGTCAGTTCCTGAAGTTCTAAAGCAGTTATTTTAACCTAAGCTATAAATTCACCATCAGGATATTGTTTCAGCTTTCTCTTCTTTCCCTGTTGTGCTCAGAATATCCATGCTCCAGAATGAATCACGAAATTGTCAGAGGAGATTCATCTTCTCCCTTCCTTCTAGTCTGTGCATGTAAATGTGTGAAAGCCTTCAGGAGAGCAGAGGGCTGCTCAGAGGAAGCCAACCAGCTGAAAGAGGATCAAAGCAATCACCTAGCAAGATGCCAAAGGAGTTGGTGAATGACTGCACAAAGTGAAAAGGATCCAGATAACAGGGGCTTGGACAATCAACAGGGTCAGCAAATTTCCTCAGCACCAGCAACAAGACTCAGCAAGTTAACTGGGACCTCTTGCTTGTGTATGTCAAAGCCCCTTCAGCTGAGAGTAAACAGAGCTTCTCTGGAAATTAATTAAACAGGTTAATAATTGCCAATGTTACTAGACAAGAAACTGATAGGGAATTCTTATCCCTTCAGATATTTGACTAACTGCTACACAAGGCAATAGAAATCTTGATCAGTTATTTCCAGCAGGGCATTCTGCTTGCATTAACATATTTTTTTTCCTAATTCTGCATCTGAGATCATCATAATAATAATCTCATGCTAGAATTGTTTTAATGGTTCATAAGTTGTTAGTTCTTATTTATTATCACTGAAGCAGTCATAAAACAAATTTGTTCTTTGATGTATGACCTTATTCTGCATCAAAACTTCCAGCCCTCCTCAATAGGGATTTTCTTGCAGTTTTATTCCAGGTTGTGTTCCTTACCCTGTGTCTAATAACTTTTTCCTAATAGTTTTTTAATTTGGGGTGGGGTTTTTTCAGGGCACAAATTTAATGTCTTCTTCTTTGTAAGGAAACCTATGGCCAAGTTTAGGAAATCAAGTAATTTCCTAAATCCACAAATAACTTCCTAAATCTATGAGCCTGAGATGCATCTATGGCTGAGCTTGTGCATTGCTGGGGAAACACGACTTCTGGAGGACCTTTACATTTGCTAAATTAGGGAGACTGTTTTTCTTTATTAGTCTCAAAACTTTCATTAGGATGAAGGTGTATCAGTAAAGACCAGAAATGCTGCCATTGATGCTTTTGATTCTATTTTATGCGCAGCAGCAGCCAATCGTTCTTTGCATCATGACTGCTCAGAAACACTGTTGTTGAAACAAACTATAAATAAAGTGCTGGAACTGGGAGCTGGCATCTTTATTTCACTGTCACCTTTGGGAGCAAAAGAACCAATTAATACAGACAGGTATTGTGGATTTTAAGACAGGACAATGCTATGTTAAATAGTGGGATGAAAACTCAGTAATGTTGTTTAGACACGAAGAGCCAAACTATGGGGACGGCTCATTCACTACCAGCTTGAGAAAGATTTATGTAGAAGCTGAAGACTCTCTGTGTCCTTGTACAACTCTCAAACAATTCCATTTATCTGCATTAGGCTGAGCCCTTTTATTTGTGCCACATTTGTTTCCAGGGTAAGCAAAGCACCTCACTAATATGTCTGGGAGGCTAGAGAGCCACCAGAGAATTTGGAAACGGAAAGTTTTATTGTGACATCTTTGGAATGACCATAGCTCTCTGCAAGTTATGCAATTTTTCCCATGCATCTCTAATGTATTACTTATAATAAATATTTATTGTTTATCTATCAGAGTTATGGATACAGGCAATAGTAGGAGGAAAAATGCCACATAATTGTTATACTTTTACAGGTACTGGAACCATGTACTCACTTGTTCTCATTTATATATTGCTTAATTTTTATGAACAGTGCAATTCTCATAGGGTGGATTTTCTAAAATCCTATTCCAGGAGGAATTTGTTCACATTTCCTTAGAAACTCTTGCACTGAAAATAATTTCTAGATCTATTACACTGTGACACACATGTGATTCTTCTTCACCTCTATCAGGCCCAAATTTTCATAAGTATTCATCTTTCTGTTCTCCATCTCTATGAATTATGTTGAGGGTTTATGTTCATGTGCTTCAGGCCACGTAGATCCCAGAGTTTGCTTCCAGAGATGATTCTAGAGAGAACATATGAGATGTGACCACGGTCCCTGGGACTCCACATTGAGCTACAGGCTGTTTAAAAGGAGAGTCTTCAACAGAGAAATACCAGAATATTTAGGCCAAATAAACTCAAAAGTCCTTTTCAGTTCTAGGAGATTGTATCACATTTTTTGAACCTGGATTCCCCAGGGGAAATATTATAGAGTGCAATATTAATCCCTTTCTGTGAATAGGATGACTAAGAGTGATGAGAATGAATAATGCTAAGATCTACTGCTAGTAAGATTCAAAACACTGTTTCATACGAAGAAAGAGAATGAACATCAGTGCCAGGGAAGGTGACAACTGCCAAAACAATTAGTTTTCAGGTATTATTACCAGTCCTCAGACAGAAAAAAAAAAGACTTGTTCTTCTCTTGCTGACTTTCTGTGTGCGATCAGAGAATGACAATTAAATAGTAACATATTTACCACTGGCTTTCAATAAGACAATAGTAGAATTTAACCACTGCTAATTACTGTATGTATTCCAACACCATTTTCACTACGAAGAACTCAAGCTGAAGCCACAACACTGCAGTTCTATACCACAAAATGACAGGACGCAGCAAAAGCCCTTTTGGCTTACAACAGATTTTCCACAAAAGGAGGTTTCGTAAGAGTGGCCCCCACACACCAGTCACCAAAGAAGGTCTTCCTGGTGTGTTTTTCTATCTGTACATAACTAAAAATGCAAAAGCAATAAAACTGATTCCAGTCCGCTGCAAAATGTTCGGTTTTGTTTTTTTCCTCCTCAAACTCTGAGCTTCCCTGGGGACAAGTAACAAAAAAGTAGCCCAATAGGAAGAGCTGGTCCTGTCCCTCTTTAGGAAAAGAGTTTTCACATATTGGCACCACATAATTTGTGACCAAAAAGGAGGAGGCTAATTTGTGTTAGTTGAAAGCTGTGAGAAACACATAGACCTGAAATGGAAGGGAACAATGGTGTCCCCATGCAACACTGATATCACAGTGAATATTGTGCACACTGCATGTGTTTTACAGAGAACTTTATAAAGAAGCACAGAAAAGTTAACTTTGGGACCAGTGGGATTGCACTACAGTGACCTAAGAGAAATTTATGCAGAAGGGTTTGTATGACTAACATTTTTTCATGTTAGTTCATGTTTTCCTCCATCAGTAGCAACACACAAGATGTTCATGGCCCTGGAGCACATGACTAGTGAGGATTAATGAGCAAAGAGAAGTGGCAACCTAAGACTAGCCTATGTGAAAGGGAGCAACAAAAAGGAAGAGACCAAACCCCGCTTGACAACAGCAGATGGTAAACCAAGGACTAGAACATCATCAAAAGTTATGATTTTGGAGATTCAGGTTGAACATTTGGAGAAAAAACCCTCTTTCACTAGGAGGTTACTACAGCACTGTAACAGGTACCTAAAGATACGGCAGAATCTGGGGACCTGGGAAGCTTTCAAGACTGAGCTAGACAGAGCTTAAGCAATGTGATCTCTTGCTGGCAATAGCTCAGCTTCAAGTGGGAGGTTAGATAGAGATCAGCAGAGCTTTCTTCCACATCTCTTTCACTTAAAAATATGAAGATAATGTTACAATAATTAAAAAATAATGTATTGCAATGTATTGCTTATTGGCATTAATTACAAGTATATAATTAATATAATTAATTTAATATATTAATATATTTAGACTTCTATTTTATACTCATTTGGATCTTACAGAATCTGCTGAGAACTTATTTTTCAGTTACCTGTGATGCTTTTCATGAACGCATCAAAATGTAAACACTTCAGCATTCCACAGAAACACAGTTGTTCCCATTGTCCCTCCCATTTTAAGTGCATTTAAGTCCCGCCGCTCTGAAGTAAACTGGAACAGGCTTTGTTACTTGGCCAGAAGTTATAATTCTTTCCCTGAAGGTGTACTTGTGACCGTCTTAACTGCTTCTTTGCATATTTCTACTCATATATGTGTATATACATATACATACGTATAGATAGATTTTGTCGCACACAGTCACCTTTTTGTCCCCACAGATGTTCAGAGTTATGTGTGGAAAGAAAAAACAGATTTTTACAAGCAACTGGAAGCAATTTGTTATTTGAGTACTGCAGCATTTGTGCATGCAGAAATGACAATGAAAACCAGATCCAGCTGTATTTCCATGAATAGTGCTACATTTCTGTGTGTGGAGGGAGCAGCCCTGCACAGCAGCAACACAAACAGCCTTCAGTGTTCACATGGCAAGACACAGCCAATCTTCTGGATAACCTAAGGTCTAAGAGGAGTCACTGTGCATGTTGACACTCAGGTCACAGGGCTGAGAAATCACAGTCTGACCCAGGAGGTGACTGACCCCCAAAACATTCAGCAACATTAAGCCTACTCTACCCCATAGTAAAAGCAACCTTTAGAGAGACAGAAAGCAAAATCCTGACAAAAAAGCACCACTATTTCAGCTGGCTGCAGCCTATACATCACACACAATCCTAATAGTCATTATAATAATAATGATGACAATAATAATGATAATAGTAATAATAATAATTTAAAACAAACCTTCATGCATTTTCCTGTGAGCTTTACCAATGAAGCAGGAAAGACAAGAGAATACATTATTAATTTGTGACTGAAGTCCTGCATTCAGGGTAATTCAATTGCAACCTGGTAAATCTACCTGTGAAAGCAGATAAGATTGGAACTCCAGAAACATTCCACCTTGAAGGAAGAAATCTGATAGAGAAAAGTGCTCCAGGGTTGTTTAAAGTTTATCTACGGACAGAAAAGCCTAAGGGGAAAGAGTGAGAATCAGCTACAGGGAGAGCAGGAGAAGAAAGAGAAGACAGGAAGGCTGAAGTGCACTGTACCTTTTCTGCTGGAGTAAGTTGATTTCATCCAGATGTTTATCCCAGGATTTTTTGCCTTGCAGCTTCTGACTTAGTCCATTCCATATCCGGGAATAAAAGGGATTGCTCTCCCCAAATAAAGGCACCCCCATATCACGTCCCTTTTCCTCTCTTGCCCAGCTGCCTGAAATCCAGCAATCCCCACTTTGGGAAAAAGTCAGGAAAGGCTGACTGCAGGTCACCACTCCTCCACCCTCAGTTACTTACAGAGGAGACTGTCAGTCAACTGCATCAGCTGATCAAAGTACGTGTAAAAACACACAATAAAATCACTTGTTCCTAGCAGACCATACCTTGAGCCTCATCAATTACTTAGTTTCCAAAATAGCCCAACCCAAAGGTGTGTCTGATTTAGAAGTAGCTCACCAGCAGCCTACCCCTCAAAAAGACCCTGAACAGCAACTGAAGAATTCATACAGCATCAAGGTCCTAGGCTTCTACTATTTTGATTTTGAAATCTAGACTTTAGAAGCAGTCATCCTCCTTTTGTATCTCTGAATTCTTCTGAAAAGCAACATGTAAGCAATTTTGAAATAGACAGCTGAGCGAGTGAGGCAAAACACCTTTAAGGTGAGTGAACATGTGGGAACCTGCCCTAAAAGACACAGGGCTCTGGGAAGGTGGCAGAGAGGAGGACACACCTCCCACCTCAGCTGTCTGCAAATCCCATTAAAGAAATTATCGTTACAGACTCCACCTTCTCTACGTAAAACAAAATCACCTTACTCCACAAGCTAGAAGAAGAGTTTATGTAGATTAATGTGTAAACTTTACATATTTCATTTAATGTTCTACAAGCTCTCATTATTTCATCTCCTACAAAAATCTTTTTTTAGGAAGGAGATGAAAATTTCTATTTAACAAAACCTTTTTTTAATTATTTAATAAAAACTTGATTTTGGCACAGAAAAACATATTCAGAGTCAGGGGCTATTTGCCTGCAAAGCAGTAGACCAAATATCAAAATGAAGAGATGAGGCATCCTTCTTTGTGTGAAGAAGATGGAAACTATGAGGGAGAAAAGAAAAAAAGACCAATTAAAAAAAATACAAAAGGGAAAAGAGAAAGCTCCTAGTTTCTAATCTTTGTTCCCCAAAGACTTGTCCCAATATTTTTATACCTTGAATCAACAGAAATACCCCTTCATTCCTACTCCTGCTGTAGTGGAAATTAATTCTGTTCAGGGTGCCTGGACCCAGGCAGAATCAGTAGGTAAGAGAGAAAAGCGCATAAAGCAATAGGACTGGGTAATTTCTTTGAAATTCCTGGTTTATTTAGAGGTTTCTCAGAACTACAAAAGCAGGATTAACATCCAAACTTCTGTAAACTCATGATGTATCCTATCCTAGAAAATCATAAATTGCCACACAATTGCTACACAAAAAACAATGCTTTAAGACAAACTTGAGGGATCATACTCTAAAATGATTTCACTGAGCTGACTCGGTCTAGGAGGAAGTATCGAGTTAAGCTGTCATAGTGGGAAGAATATATCATTTCCTGCTTTGAGAAGTTAGAGTTTATAGCAGCCAGGTGTTTTGAGCATATGTTGTGTTTTTAATAGTTTTTTAAAGGATATCAATAATGAGGCCACCCTAACACTGTGAGGGATGGGGGGAAGTAACTCCTATTGAAATTGAGAAAGGTATTTAGATACTGAGGTATTGAATGCCTCTGAGAGACGAACACAATCTCTATTTCTCCCAAACAGAGAATACTTTCCACTGTCTCCCCAAGGAAGCCCTAGAAGATTGGTCTCAGCAGTTCAGGAAAGCAGTGATTTATTCCTGCCTCCTCTGGGCAGCACTGCCACCCTGACAGCAGCTCTCAGGTACAAGAAGTGAAGAACAGTCGGACAGAAGGTGGAGGGATAAGTTCTTAGCTAACCGTGGAGGCAACATCTGCAGCACCAGGGCAGTCCCAGCAGCTGCAAACCAGTGTCTCAGGTGGACTCACCACATGGTCGTGGGCGGCTCATTAGAGCTCTCATTACGGCTCCAGACTGCAGTAAAGCTGGCTCAACAGTTTTCCTTTACCCACTTGTACGAGCATAAAGTCTAACACTGCAATAGAGTGTTTTCTTTTAATTCGTGGTAGAGGGCATTTTCAGGGGAAACAGAGTACGGAGGTGAAAGGTGGATGAAATATGTAAGCATGTGGTAGGGTCTGAAACCTCTTTAGTAGCACATCATGACCAAATCACTTAAGCGCTGCTGGGCTTTCAGTCTAGCAGGCTGTAAATAGTTTTATTCAAAAACTAAAGACCTGATAATGCCTTGCAGTTCAGATGTGGATTGTAGGTCTATACAGTTTGTGCGCATGTGGTTTTCCACATACCTCAGTGGTGCTTTTAGGTCTTTGAATCCCTTTCCTCAGCTCCTGAGTCATGTTGTGGCTGGCTTCTAGCCCTTTAGCTCCTGACACTATTCTAGCTCTACCTGTTCCTTGTTCCAAGCTCCTATTGCAAATAGCGCCTTTATCTTGGCTGCCAGTGGTGCCCTTTACTGGTTGTTTGTCTTGACTTCTCTTGTTTCTGAAATGGGGTAATTCTGACTGACCTGATTCCTGGACTCTCTTGATTCCAGCTTGACCCCTTCTAACAAATATGACATCTAATGTCAACATCTTCCACACAAATTCCCTTCTATATCCATAGGCCATCCATAGCAATGTAAGCATGAAGAAATGCAAAGTACAACCTGTCCAAATGTGTTTCTCACACCACAGTGTCTAAGAACACAAAATTAAAACAGACCAGCAATGATGGAACGATTATTGCAGTTCAGTCACCTCCTGGCTCTGGGGTATCTACCAATATCATACATGGCACAGTTAGGATGTGCTGCCCTTTGCAGGACTACAGAAACTGTTCAAATAAGCCAGTGTGCGGAGATACTTCAGTAACAACCAATTCCTAATTTCCCATGCCTGCCATAAATACAAGGGAGCAAAAAAACCACTTTTGTCACTGGGGATTGTTATCTTGCTAGAGACAATACTCTGCACTTTTTAATAGCACAATGCATTCCTTTTAGATCAGCCTTAATTTTGAATTTATTTATTTTTTATTTTTCTTAAAAACTGAATAGTTGAGTGTAAATGAGGTGACCTTTGGTGAACCTGAAATTCAAGTTAGCATTTGCTAACAACATACTTGAAAAGGAAAAATTATAACAGGGGAATTAGAGAAAAACACTACAGGGGAATTTTTCAAAATAACTCCAGTTTTGGTTTCATCCCAGACGCCTTTTCAGTCCCTTCTTTCTTTTCAAAATTAAATCAACACAGCTATTACCTGGCCTACTATAAAAGTAATTTCAGTGCTAATGTAAAGACAGACGTAATTTGCACAGTACATGGATTCCTTTCCTTCTGAATGTTCCTGACCCCTACATTCCATGTTCTTACAAAACTCCTGTCAACCTTCCTGGAAATTTTGAGTGCCGGAGGTATGTAAGATTAAATCCAATGTGCTTATCTGGTAACAAATCAGGATGGGAATGCTTTTTTTTTTTAATCTTTCTGTTTTTATCTTACAGGTATTTTAGGGGAGGGGGAATTGCAAGAGCTGTGTGATATTTTAAAGTTACTACAAAGATGTAAGTGTAATCCCTGTCTTTCACAAAATCCACAGGAATGCAAACTCTGAGTATCAGGAAATGGAAAAGATAAAAGGTGTTGTAAAAGTAAGGAAATCTATTGAACCTAAAGAAGAACCTGAATTAGCTAGACATGGTAAATATCCCCCATTTTGATATTCTGAAAAGTTTTTAAGGAAACACACAAGATTATGTAATGAGTGGTACTGGGAGAACTTACACAAAGTGGCTTTTGAAGAGAAAGGAAAGAAAGGAAAGTCAACTCCTTTATTTACAATTATGATGAATTGAAATGCTCCTCTTCATTTACCTTCCGAATTTGCCCCCCACATCCAAGTTAAGCATCTGGTAGACAAATAAAATAGCACGATTAGATGCTTAACACGCTCAGAGCCAATGAGTAGCCAAGTTATCTTGGCTAGAGTACAGACAAGTTTTATCTGTCAGAGATAAGTATCGCTCCCAACCATCTGCCTGGACAAATTTCCACACAAAGACTTGCCTGTTTTTCCAGAGCTATAGACTGCCAAGTCAATTCAGAAACTCTTATTCTTCCATGTCTTTTTTGCATATAATCTCTCTGAATCACATATATGCTCAAACTTTAAAAATCAAAACACATTTTATATTTTTTTCTCAAATTCACAAAGCAATTTCACTATAAAAAACTAGCTCTTAAAAATTCCCAGTTTGGATATCGTACGAGAAATTCTGACATTTCAGCAACAGCAAAAACAAAGTGCATGGATTGCATTCCCAAGTTTACACTACCATCTTAAGAGCGAGACTGGAAGTGCAACCTACAACCGGACCAGTCTTTCAACACTTCCCCTGTACATTTCTGGTTGTACTGCAATCCTTTGTCTGAAATCTCAACATTTAATAAAAGCTCTAAAGATTTCAGCTGTGAGTGAAAAGAATGAGAGCAGCAGAAGTACAGGAAAAAGCAATGACAAATAACAGTTTCTGAGTATAGAGAGAACACAGAACAGAAAGTCAAGAAAGTCAGCAGTAAACAGTGATGTCTCTTCTCCATGTCTATAATGGATAATCTTCCATCTGAGAAGATTGCAATAATAACTAGGCAGCAACTGATTGATGCATTACCAATATGTTAGGGAATCCTGTTGGACTGTGGTATTTCCAGTTGTTCAAGTTATATATCTTACTTGTGTAGCATAGGAAAACAAAGCTGTGGATGATTGTATGGAAATGCACAGCATTATGTACCCTGCGATATCACACAGCTGAGTGGTGATAGCTATCAAAACCAAAACAAAGTAACAGAGGAAAATAACTAGATATTCCAGAAGCAGAATGCTAGTGGTGTTATCTCCACCAGTCTTGAGAAACTCTTATCTTCACAGGATCTCATCTGCTGTGTAAATATGAATTACTTCACCATCAGTAAATCACAGGTAACTCAGCAACAGATGTAACTTAACAATGCATTATAAACAATATAGCAGGGCATAAGTGTCCTTGAAGCATCTACTTAATATTATGCAACTAATCCTGATGTGTAATTCCATGAATCCATCTCCTGGCCTGGAGGAGCGCAAAATGCTAGAGGGAAGCTGGTAGTAAATAAAATATTACACTGGATTCCCTTAATTAATAATGTGGCCTTGTGTGTGTGTGTGCAGTAAGCCTGGTTGAGAGAATTAAAGGGAAGTGGTCTCTACTTCTTGACTCAGATTAGCAGAAGCAAGGACAACTACTCATGGTGAGAAATGGCAGCAGAGGCACAGGCTTCCTTGAAAGATGAATTCCTGAGGTCCTGGTCAGTTGGATGAGGGATCAGCAACAGTGCCATTGACTGTTACAAAAAAGCAGCACAAAGATCACTAGACTTTGTAAAACTTACCTTCCCCCCCTACCCCTCCCCAACATTTGCAGCAGACTTTGTAACATTTCCAGGAAAAGCCAAAAGAGAATGGAAGACCCCTGATAACTGCAGTCATATTGGCAGTGTGAAGGAGATCTCTTACTGAAATAGAGTATTACTAATTCATAAAAAACCTTGATTGAGGGAGTCAGTGGTATTCTACCTCACTGGGGAACCCCAGACAAGGATCCTGGATGGTTTTCTACTACTGTGATTTGGGGTACTAGCTCAAGTCAGAAAGCTTCCTGTTAGTGAGCTGGGAAGCTTATTTACTGGTGGTTTACATAGACACCAATTCCCCAGCCTCCTGTCAAAGGAGTACCCAGGGACTCATGTACTCAATAGAAGCAGAAGCATATTCCTTTATGAAAGGTGGACTGAGTAAATGTCAAACCAATAATCTGCTCCTGCAGATAGGGAGCTAGTAGTAAGTCTTAACACAAAAATAGGTAATAAAGAAAAAGTAGAAAAAGGGCTTAGATCTCCACGTAGACTGACATTAAAATTGTGACAGTGGTGCCTTGAGAGGCTACCTAGAACAGAGGCCAGACAGAGGAATAAAGCAGGTATTTATTAAAAAGGCCTTCAAAGGATACACCTTGGGCAGGACAAGAGCCTGGCTGGGGCTACACCCAAGATGGATGATGGTTCACACATTTTCACAGTTTTATAAGTTTTGGTCCATTTACATATTGGGGTTAATTGTCCTGTTACAGCTTCAGGGTATGAAGTCCCATCCTCCCAGACTGCTCTCCTCAATTCGCTGTTTATACATTTTGGGCCTGAAGCTGCAACCGTGTCCTTGGTTCTTGGACTGAAAAATGATTGTTTTGTCTGACTACACTGTGAGGAGAACTTGCTAACACTTTATGTGAAGTTCAGAGCTATATACTGATGCAGTACAGAATCTGGAAAATATGAAAGCTAAAACTTAAGGCATCAACAGTAAGGTTATAAGAACCTGAAATAAAGTCATGAAAGCCTTCTCCTTCAGATTTCCTTAAAGGAGGTCTGGGATTCAAAGGTAGCCCAAGGGTGTTACCAGGAATCTCCAAATCAGCCTGTAAAACAGTGGGGAAAATCATCAGCAAAAAAGAGTGCCTCACTAGTTTTATTTTGTGGCCTGGAATGCCACAAGAGTAGCTAAGTCTTTCATTCAGCAATTGTAAAGTTCTGTGTATGAGTGGGTAGACCCTACCATTTTACTAGACACTCTCCTTGCTCCTAAAGATACACAAAAACATGGAAGTATAGTTCTGGGATACATCTATGGCAATGCTAACCCCCAAAGCTGTGGCCAGCAACGTTTTTGGAGTTTGGAGAAAGGAAGAAGTTGGTCTAACAGCTGCTTGATTTGAGACTGGGTGTGAGTAAATAGACTCCCAATATCATAGCTGGCATCAGGCTTAAAAGATTCTCTGAAACCTCTGAAGTATGAATGCATCCTGATTTTATTCTGAGTTGGTTTGGGTCTTAGTCCAAAGCAACTGTACTACTAAGTCAGGATAGCAGACAGGAAATCAAACTTGGATTGTGACTGGATTTTTTTGTGGCAACAGGTGACACCACTTAGTACTTGGAATGCACAACTCTGAGTTGCCCAAAGCACCATTAGGGGAACTCCTGAATATATGCTTTGGTGTAAGAGGAAGAATTTTGAAGGTAAGTGCTGATGACAGAGGTTAAACTTTGGTCCTGACAAATAGGGGAAATCTGGGCCCTGTTAAATGTTTGTCTTTAAGAATATTGCATCCTGAG